GGATGGGAAGCGAAACGTCTTCAAACTTGGAAACAAAGTCCAGTGGATAGTTTTTAACTTTTTTGGAATGACTATGACCTGAATGGCTGAGAATTTCCCCCAGCATAGTGTCTGAACAGCTTCGCCTTCATGCTTCCAGCAGCCTCAGGTGTCCTTACGCACTCTCGCATATCTGTTTTTAAAGGGAAGAAAGCTTGAAGCACTGGGAGGTCAACTGGTTGTCATCTCGGTGAGAAGATCAAGCAGAATAGATAAATAAATAAAACACTCTCTGTCCCCTAAATGTCTCCACTGCTCTGCCTCCAGCCCAACATACCTCAGCTCTGTCCTTAAAATCACTAAGCTGCAAGCACCTCACCTCTGGTCCCTTTTTCACATCCAGTTTGGTTCTTTTTTTTTTTTGTTTAGTTTTTTTGCATGTCATAAAAACATTAATACCACCTGTTATCATTTATCGCCATTTACCACAGTAAATTCCCTCGCCAACTGCTCCTTATGGGGTGCATGCTATTTTTGTTTAAAATCCTTAAAAAAAAAATGAAACAACACTTTACATACTAAAGTTTACTATGTTTTTTTGAAGTATTAGAACAGCCTCACATTGTATATAATTTAAAGTGTTAAACGGCTTGAATGATATGAAGTCTCCTTACGTTCTGCCCTTATTACTTATTGCAGACACTCGGAAGACATGATCGTCACACCTTTTGCACAGGTGAGTCCTCCTAAGATTTTTTTATTTGCGAGTTTCGTTGTCTGTCTAAGATGCTGCAGTCAGCAGCGACTCTCCGATGAAATCATTACAGAAAAGCTCAGATGGTAACGTGAGCGTTTCACTGGAACAACCCCTCAGCTCTTGCGGTTGGCTCTGTGACAAAAGCCAGACATCCTGCTGGTGTTGCCTGACTCTTGCGAGGGACGTGCGTCACGCTTGTGCTCGGTTTACCCTCTGACAGGAGAGGTGAATCGAATACTGCTGGCTAGTGCTGTTTCAGATTTACATGTCGGCCTGGGCGAGGCCTGGAAACGCGACCCTCTGCAGGCCCTTCTCTGCACGCTGAGTCAATTTTTGGCTGCTGACGGAGGGACAGACATAACACAGAGGCGATGCTATGAAAACATCGAGGGGGGGGGATGGGGAATGCCCTGTGCTGTATATCAGTTAAAGGAATAGTACACCCAAAACATGATTAGCCTTCATTTTCTACTCACCCCCATGCTGAACAACACTCTGGAGTACTTTTTTG